AGAGAGAGAGAGAGAGAGAGAGAGAGAGAGAGAGAGAGAGGGATCACAAATAGAGAGAAAGAGAAGAGAGACAGAAAGAGAGAGAAGGAGCTACTGGTAGAACTATGCAGACACATAACAGAGAGGGTGAGAGAGGGAGATAGAAGATAGAAAGGAATGAATACGATATGAGAAAACGATAGGAATAGAGAGCCAGAGGCATCAGAATTATATGATATATAAGATGAAATAATTAAAAGAATGCAAGATTAAGAAACACTTGCAAATAGACAGAGACAGAGAGAGATGGTGGGAAAGAGAGGCAGGCGGATCAGAAAATATTTGCTATATTCTGTAATCTGACAGCTCAAACAATATGTTGCGCAGTGAGATAAGAGTGGGAGTAGAGCTGCATGAGAATTTGTCATTGATCTTTGTTGATTTGGTTTGCAAAGTGCAAGAGGGGAATAAATTCGATCAGAGTCGGGTAATTGCAAGTCGGGCAATTGGAAATGGATGTGACCATGAATTAGAAGTGAAGCATTCCAATTAGATTACAAATTGAAGCACTTTGAGACAGTCAATAATGAGACTTCAACTATTTGCTCAGCTCAAATGCCAATAGAAGTGCGCTCAGCATTTGGGGCAGAGCTCGACTTACCATCTATGCCCAGAACAAAAAAACAAAGGGTCATATAGCAACGCGTGCAAAATACAAATACCAATACGAGTCGGATTCTTCTGCAACCTTGGACTTTGGGCCAGTGCAAATGCGAGATGCGCTCCATTAATGCCAGAAAGTCTGACGAGGCAGTTTTTTGTTTTTATGGACAATCGCAAGCATAGAATATTGACAAGCCATCAAATATTTGTTTATGCGCATACATATATTACTACATATACACCATATATTTCATATACATATACATATAAATGCGCAGTGTGAAAATTGGGTTAAGAAATAAAGCATGCAAACTACCTTGACACATTTAATCGAGCTGCTGCTTTCGAAATTATTTATGTACAAAGCAAATACATTGAAGAATGCTTTGTGTGGGCTGCCGGCGGGGGGGCTGGAAGGGCCACAGACCAACGGCGCAGAGGGCGTGGCACGAGAACAGAAGCAATCACAGTGCTGTTGCTGTTGCTGTTGCTGTTGATGTTGCTGTTGCAATTGTAATAAATATGTATATAAGAAGAAGAAGAAGAACAAATTGCCTTTACGAAATGTACATCACATGCTACAATAAGTCAATACACACACTCTCTCTCTCTCTGTGTGTGTGTGTGTGCACACTCTTATAAAGAATGTGAAAATGATAAGAGCAACGCGCATACGCCACGTGAGCCGGACTAAACTGACGACCGAAGCTGTCCCCATTACTGAACCGAAAATTTTTATGCGCAATGCGCTGATTAGACATTAGAGCATAATATCAATTTGAAGTGCAACTGTATGTGTGTCGGTGTGTCTGTGAGTGAGTGCACGTAATGCGTTTGCGGCAGGTTTCAAAGTCTCAAAGTTTGTAAAGTTTATTGACCACCCAGCCGAGCTGTTGCCAGTTACCACGCGTTGGCAAGCGACAGACAGAGAGAGTTAGACAGAGACAGAGCGAGAGAGAGAGAGAGAGCGAGCGAGATTCCAGCTGAAAAGGGTTTAAAAATAATCCAGCAATCGAGCCGATCCAAGCAACTGTCTGGCTGGGGTTCATGTCCTTTCCATAGGATGTTGTTGGCCGGCCAATGATCTTGCTGTCGGTTTGAACCTGTTGCCACCTGAAGAACGTGGCTGCTGCACGCACTCTTACTTCCCCCCCACCTCCCACCACCTTCCGCCTAGACCCCCTCCTCAGTTCTCCTCCCATTGGTTGCACAGCGGTCATTGAGTCTGGCAAGACAACAATTTCATTTTCTGGAAGCTTCAGCCCTTGATCAGTGCCGTTGGCAACAATAAAAAGGTTCACCGACCGAGGGTTCTTTGCAATTTATGCCAGTTTATCGCCAGCTAGTCAAAGCTAACTAGCTAGAAAAACGCTAAACTAGCTAGAGCTTCGGCTTGAAGTGGATGTTAAGAAAATCAAAGTTTTTCAGCGAAATTTTTATGAATAAAAATTGATTTATTGATTTTTTAAAGCCCTAAAAAGAAAAGATATAAAAATATTGATCAATTAGCTGATATGAATATGACTAAAAATTTTGAAGGTGAGACTGAGGGAGAGACCGAGTGAGAGAGAGAGAGAGAAAAATAGAGAGATAGAGAGAAGGGTTAAGGAGACATGGAAATGGAGTGAAATTATGAGAACGATCGACAGAGATGAAGTAAAATCAAAGGAGAGAGAATGAGGCAAGATAATGAAGGACTTATAGATGAAGTGGGATAGATAGAAATGCAATGAGATCAAGTGAGATCTCAATAGAGAAAAAGGATAGATCGCTAGCTATATTTGGCTGAATTTAGCGGAAATATGTGATGAGCCGATCATCTCCGCTGTAGGTTGGCAGTCGGCAGTTGCGGTTCATTGGCAGACTGGGATTCATGGGTTAACGTCTGCCGTCAGGTCATTAAAATATAATGTCGGCGCAGCGACTCTCGTAAACGCCGAACGCAGCAGCAGCAGCAGCAACAGCAGCAACAGCAGCAACAGCAACAGCAGCAGCAGCAGCAGCAACAGCAGCAGTCGTACATCTTGTGCCTGGCCCTGTTTTCTGGTCCTTTGTGCGCCACACGCATTCGCTAAAGTCAATGGCACGGGTCTTGGATTCTATTTTAGCGCAGGCCAGCGGCCCTGAACTTGTTTTTTCTGCTCCATTGTTGGAAGTCTTCCGCGCCTGGCATGAATCAGCGTCAGCCCGAGATAGTTTCTCTCTGGCGCTGCAGCTTCCCCTCTATTCATTGGCTTGGAATTTTGCAGCATTTTTGACGATTTGCATCAACGGTAAATCGGAAATGAAACAAATTCTGACTGAGTCCCAAAAAACGCAAACACAAACTATTGCAAAAGCAAACTCAATCGCATTGCAGGCGTATGTGATCGCGATAGAGCGGCAAGAGATGATAGACCAAGTAGTAGAACTTCTCGATGGTGTCGTCCAGGAAGAGCAGATTGACCACGACCGGCTCCATCGGATTCAGGGTGCCGCTCAGGGTCAGCTGGTCGATGCTGCGGGCGCAGTGCAGCATCTCGCTCAGATAGTAGGCCTTCTTGCGGGGCATCTCGAGGCTCTCCTGCTGCAGGTAGATCGTCAGCTTGGTGTACTCGGCAATCGTGGTCTTCTGGACGTTCTTGTCGTTCGGATAGTGCAGCTCGATGTAGTTGTGGGCCGCATTCCACTTCAGCAGCGGCGCATGCGCATTGTAGTACTCTAGCCAATTGATGTGCGTCTCCAGATCCTCCAGACCCAGATGGAAGAGCACCCGTGCCGCTTCCTGGTACGTCGTGTCGCAGTCCTCCTGGAAGCTCTGCATCAGCGAGCGCAGCTTCTGGCGCAGAAACCTGATGGCATGATCCCGATGATTCACCAGCTTCATTGCTATAGATCTTCCCCTCGCCACGGTACCGTTGTATGTCTCTCTTGTGTGGATTTTTAACATATATGTAACGGATTATATCATGTTCATGCTGTGTGCTCAAATTAATGTTTTGTTGTACATCTATGAGTGTGTGTGTGTGTGCGAGTGTGTGGGATAGTGTGTGTGGGAATACAATTCCCAGGCCTAGTTGATGCGATAGTATGGAGAGTCATTCAAGCTCGAAGCAGTTGATAAATATGTATAATAAAAGTAGATAATATTATGAAGATGTACTACAATATACATATATGTGTAGTACTTAAATTTCACGCTTTATATATATACTCATATATATATTTATTTATGTATTTTTTAAGCTTTTATTTTGATTTTATTTCTGCTTCATATTGATCTTTAATGAAAATAGTTTTTTCTGTATCTGCTAACTTTGGACTTTTCCCCAAGCCACTCCATATGCCTTACATCTGCATATACAGAAGAGCTACATATATTTAAATAATTGGAATCTTTCAAACTCGAAAAAAAAAAACATGAAAAAAGCCCAAAAAATTGCCTAAAAATTGAGATGAAAATCAAAACGAAACGGAGCGAAGCCAACTTAGCTAAAACGAATTTTAAGACGCAAAAGAAATTGATGAACGCACTTTAAATACCCTGTAATATTTTTTAAATATTTTATTTGAATATTTATTTTTTTTTTGAATATTTTCTAATGGTTATAAATATAGATTACTTATGGAAGGGAAGAATTTTTTTTGTTAAATTATATGATTTTTTTTTTTTTGCTTAGCTAAGTTTCATGTGATGATGACAAATATTGTGTGATTTTTAGATTTTTGATACCACACCTCCTTAGTAAGGAGTCCACAAAAATTTGCAAAAAACTTATATAAAATACGAGAGACTTGTGCTTTGGCAAATGAATGATATTTGATATACATAGTCCAACAACTTCACAAGGATTTATTCAACAATGAAGTTCCCAATGTAAAGTCCAACTGCGCAGTCAGCAGAGTGTGTGTGTGCATGTGTTTGTGTATGTTGTGTATGCATAGAAGAAGCGTGGAATGATTGGATTCAGGAGATCTTGAAGTCGAACTTTCTGGACACTATTATTGACTAGTGCAAAGCTCGAAATGGCAAGTAGATCAGTTTTTTTTTCGATTTACACAGAGATACAAACTATCGAAAATTATCGAGAACGACCTTTGTTGAAGTGAATAGAATTCTTTTCGATTTAACGCTATTATTGATTTAGCGGTGTACAAATTATCGAGACTCGACTGTACTTAAATAGTTTATCTATAAGTTGACTCTAGTTTTGTCAATATATTGGAATATATATCAATTATAGTCCATCTATTACAGAGTTAGGTAACTCTTAGCTGCTCAATTCCTACAGATTGAGCATTGTCTCAGCCAGGATATGAACAAATTTATAAACTGTAAACAACTTAACATATGCAACAGATTGTGAGAGTGAAGGCATTACAAATGCGCAAAGATCTCTATCGCACCCTCTTTCTCCCTACCACTCTCTCCGTCACTCTCTCTCTCTCCTCTCTCTCTCTCTCTCTCGCTGTGCGCTTGTAAATATATGTACATAGCATTTGGCTATGTTTCCATTTCAATTTTAAAGCAGCGAACCTTCCAGTAGTATAGCTATAGATATATGTATACAGAATCACATGCATACATACACACATATATGCAGATATACATATATGTATGCATGGGTATGGCCTTCGGCTACGCCCGGTGTCTGCCTGCATTACATTTCGCTCGCAAATCCATAGAAATTCCAGTAATTGAAGAGCCGCACAGTCGAACGGACGTCAGCGTGCGGATATACAGGGTCTGAGGCCGAACAAGGAAGGGATAACGCGCGCAGTCTACCTGATCTCTACCTGCTGCCGCGATGAGTGCAGACGAACTGGGCCTGGCCGTCTTCGGGGTGCTGCTGTCGCTCGTCTGCATCATAGTTGCGCTGATCTGCCAGCGGCGCAATGCGCGTCTGCTGGGTCGCACGCCGCCCGGGCCGTGGGGCGTGCCGCTGCTGGGCTACTTGCCGTTCGTGGATCGCCTGGCGCCGCACAAGTCGCTGCAGGCGCTGGCCGGCCGCTACGGCGCCATCTATCAGCTGAGCATGGGCAGCGTGCGGACGGTGGTGCTGGCGGATGCGGCGCTGGTGCGTGACTTTCTGCGGCACGAGGAGCTGACCGCCCGGGCGCCGCTCTACCTGACGCACGGCATCATGGGCGGCTATGGTAAGCACTCTGGCCGCACTCTGCCACCGAAACGAATGACTTAAGACAGCAACTTGCAGGCATCATTGGCGCCGGCGGCGACATATGGAAATATCAGCGCAGGCAGCTGATCGAGTGGCTCAAGGCGCTGGGCATGACGCGCAAGCAGTGCGAGACGCGTGCGCAGCTGGAGCAGCGCATCAGCAGCGGCGTCAACGAGTGCGTCCAGGTGAGTCTCTCTCTTTCTCTCTCTCTCTCTGTCTGCCTCTCCCTGTCTGTCTCTTTCTCTGTCTGACTAATTGGCTAACTGGGCGCTGTGCGAGAAATTCCAAGAATCATGAAAGTGAAGGTCCTACGCGTCATCGTCATCGTCTCTGCTGCTGCCGCTGCTGATGTTGCTGATGTTGCTGTTGCTGCTGTTGCTTCTGTCGTCGTCTCTGGACATTCACTTTCCGTTGTGGTCATCACTCGACGTCGCTGCCGCTGCTGCTGCTGCTGCTGCTGTCGACGCCGACAACGACGACGCATAAATTTTAAAATTTGCTAATTTTTTGTTGTTGCTGTCGCATGTTTTTGCTGCTTTGCTTTGCAATTTTTTCTCTCTCTCTCTCTCTATCTGTCTCTCTCTCCCTTTGTTTTTTGCTCTTTTCCTTTTTGTTTTCCACCTTTCGCTTTTGGCACTTTTCACTGTCTGTTCTCGATCTGACGCGCTCTTTGTTCGCAGGCCTACGAGTCGGAGGCGAAGGCCCCACTGGACCCGCTGCCGGCGCTGCAGCACACGCTGGGCAACATCATCAACGATCTGGTCTTTGGCGAGACCTACGAGCGCCGCGACCCCAACTGGCTGTACCTGCAGCAGCTGCAGGAGCAGGGCGTCAAGCTGATCGGCGTCTCGGGCATGGTCAACTTTTTGCCCTGGCTGCGCCATCTGCCGGGCAACAAGCGCAGCATACGTTTCCTGCTGGACGGCAAGGCCAAGACGCATGCGCTCTACGATCGCATCATCGAACGCTGCGCGCAGCAGCTGCAGCAGCAGCAGTCGCCTAGGCGCAGCATCTTGGCACACTTCCTGCACGAGCGTCAGCCCTACTCGCAGCTCTATTGCGATGAGCAACTGCGTCACCTGCTGGCCGATCTCTTCGGCGCCGGCGTGGATACGTCGCTGGCAACGCTGCGCTGGTTCCTGCTCTACATGGCGCGCGAGCAGCGCTGCCAGCAGCGACTGCAGTCGGAGCTGCGCAACCTCAGCGAGTCGCCCACGCTGGCCGAGCTCGAGCCCATTGCCTATCTGCGCGCCTGCCTCTCGGAGACGCAGCGAGTTCGGTCCGTGGTGCCGCTGGGCATACCGCACGGCGTCGACCAGGACACCATGGTGGGTGACTACCACCTGAGGAAGGGCACCATGGTGCTGGTGCTGCAGTGGGCCATACATATGAATCCCGAGGCCTGGCCGGAGCCGGAGCAGTTCCGGCCGGAGCGTTTCCTCAACGCCGACGGCGACTATGTGGCGCCCGCTCAGTTCATACCCTTCCAGACGGGCAAGCGCATGTGTCCCGGCGATGAGCTGGCCCGCATGATGCTCACGCTCTATGCGGGCCGTATTCTGCGTCGCTTTCACGTGCAGCTGCCCGCCGGAGAGGCGCAACACGTGGACTTCGAGGGCGAATGCGGCATCACCTTGGCTCCGGCGCCCTACAAACTTCAATTTACCCCCATGGAAGAGCTACCCAAGAACGAATAAGTCTGTTCGGATTATTTTTTCAACACTTTTTAGAATGAAAAGGCTTTTATTATTTTTAAAGTATTTTTTAAATTCATTTTTTTTTTAATTTAATTTTTTTTTAATTTTGCAAATTAACAATTTGCCTAAGTGCATTTTTTTTCCTCTTTTTCTATGCTTAACATGCTTAGAACATTTATCTTATAGCAATATAAATAATAAATAACAATCAAAATATTTTTATACTTATTTTAAGCGGTGTTTGGCAAATAAAATTAATTCGCTATTCTTTTAAGACTTATGTAAACGGAAAAAAATAAAAAAATCTGTTCAATATTTTTTTTTTTATACAAATTTAACGATTGAAAATAAAAGATATGTTTATTTTTTTGGGAATTTTTAATTATATATTTTTGATTTATATAATTTTTTATTCGAACATAAAATGGTTTTCTATGTGCTCTATTTTTTTTAGCTGTCACAAAAAATAACAATTAAATAAATATATTTTAATTGATATTATTTTATTACATTTTTTTAAATACATTTTTTACTTTTTTTTTTTAATTTTCAGATCAAAACAATTAAATATTTTTACCAAATTTAGTTGTTCACTTCAGATTTTTATTAAAATTTTTTCAGCTAAAAAAGTTTTAATTATTAAAAAATAAATTAACTTTCTAATTTTTATTTATTTAATTTTAAAAGAAAAGAATTTGTTGTTTTTGTTTTCTAATTTTGTTTTATTATTAAAATTTTTATAATTTTTTTGTTTTGTATTATTAATTTATTTTTATTTTACCTATATTTGTGTGCTTAAAATAAACCACAGTTTGTTTTGTTGTTTGTTGTCGTAAATGTAACAAAAAAAAAACATCAACTAACTAAAGACAAAAAAATTATTTATATATATATGTATCTATATAAAGATGTTTGTAAACAAAATATTTCAACTTGGCTAATTAAAATGCTAATTAATTAATGTATTTTAATTACGAATTAATTATTAATTAACTGAACACAGCTTCTTGGGGTTGAAAGAATAGAATTTGATTGCTTCATAACATAGCTAAATGATTAACGATACAGATGCCTTGTCCATAGATAGGTAGACAAATGGATCTGTATCGCTTGATGACAGGCTCGTCGTATAGCCTTTGAAAACTTGTTACTTAACGCTAAGCCTAAGGCCTAATTTCTTAAGCAATATTATCGCTCTATCTATGCATATAAATCTCTAGTAATAATAATAATAATATTAATAATAATAATAATAATAATAATAATAATAATGATAATAAAAAAAAAAACTTGTGTAGGAACAAAACCGTGCTCTGTTGAGCCCCGCCCAGTTGGGGCTCAGTTGGCGCCCACATTGCGCACTTGATGCGGCTCGCTGGCCGTGGGCGCCAGGGGGCGACGCTTGAGGCAGACCTTGAAGGACTCGGGCGTTATGGTGGCGCCCACATTGCCCTTCAGGCTGGGCAGCGGCTGGCCCTCGGGCAGCGCAATGTCGAAGCAGTGCATGAACGAGGCGAAGAACAGGAAGAGCTCCATGCGCGCCAGCACATCGCCCAGGCACATGCGTCGGCCCACACCGAAGGGTATAAAGTATTCCGGCTTGCGCACCTTGCCCTCCGTATCGATGAAGCGCGATGGGCGGAACTCCTCCGGCTTCTCCCACAGATTGGGGTCCATGTGTACGCTGTTGATCAGCGGTATGACGTGCGAGCCGGCCGGTATGGTATAGCCATTCAGTTGTACATCTCTGTGAAGCGATAGCAAATAGAGAGCGAGAGAGAGAGGGGAAGATGATGGCAAGTTAGTCAAGTGTTTCAAACGAGCTGCAGTTCTTCTGCTTTTAGTATTATTGATTCGCTGTGCGGTTATCAGCTGACAAGCCTCTAATCAGAATTATCAAGTGCGTAGAACCGAAACTGGGCCAAACTGCGACGCAAAGGAAGCGCGTCCAATGATACCGCACGGCCGGACGCAGAGGGGCGGCGCTGGAGTGGCGGAGTGCGGAAAGAGCCCGGGCTTGAGTACTGAATGAAAGGCAGTTTCCCAGTTGCTTGGCTTTCCAGTGCCAGTGCCATTTGATTTGATTTGATTTGATGGGATGCGATGTGATGTGAGAGGCAAAGCCCCAAGCACCCACCGCAGCTGCCGCACCCCCTCCGCAGGCCGGCCCCTTGGCGGCGACAATGAATGTGCCAATCGCGTGCCATTGTCCATGCGTGGAGTGAATGAACGGACGAGTGCGGACCTCGTTGTCGTCATTTGCATTCAGCATTTGCGCACAATTCGCTGCATGCGTAAGCATGCGCCCGCACGGCCCACAAGCATGGGCGTGGCCAGCTGATAACCGACTGATAGCTGATGAGCCGATGGCCAACTATCGATAGCTTACCTTGTGGGCGAGTGTGTGGTGGCCAATGGCACGATGCTGGAGCGGCGCATCGACTCGAGTATCGTCGACTCAGTGACTGGCAGATACTGCAGATCCTCGATGGTGGGCAGACGATGGCGACCCACAACCTGATCGAGCTCGTCCTGGACGCGTCGCATCTCCTTGGGATTGCGCAGCATGAACACGTTTATCCACAGCAGCGTCGTCTTGATCGTCTCCATGCCCGCCGAGAACAGATCGATGATCACCTGAACCAGCTGCTCCTCTGCAATGAACAAGGCGTTGGGGAGAGCGAAAGAGAATTGGTTAGCATTCGGTATTCAGTCGAGCGGCAGGCCAAGCCGAGTCGATCACTTACCATGATCCTTGCCGTCAAAGAGTTCCGCATCGGTGCCTTCGGCCTTGGCCTTCTCGATCTCGCACAGATAGTAGTCGACCAGATCGCGCACATTGCTGGGATCGAAGCTGCGCTTGTGCTCATCGATGACGTCACGGTAGAATTTCTGCATCTCGGCACGATTCTGGGCGATCTTGTTCTTGGCCGTCGAGATGCTGGGGAAGCACTGCAGCGTCGGTATATAGTCGACGGTATGAATCTCGCCAAACAGCCGCATGCCCTCCTCGATCAGAAAGTTGAAGCGCCTGAACTTGGGATCGTCGATGCTGAAACGCGTCGACATCATCAGGCTGCAAATCACATTGCTCACAGCCACCGAGATGACCGGCGACATGTCAATCGGCTGTCCGTCGCTCGCATGCAAATGCCCAATGAACTCGTGCACCTCCGTCTGCGCGAGAGTGGGAAGAGAGAGGGAGAGAGAGAGTTTAGTGAATGTTCTCTCGGCTGCTCATCGTCATCATCAACGTCGTCGTCGTCGTCGTCGTACTCACCATGATGCGCTTCTGCATCTGCTGCTTGCCGTTGCCCATGTAGGTCATGCCGAACTGGCGCAACTTGTCGTGCAGAAAGCGACGCTGATCCTTCCACAGTTTGCCGGTGCTATTGATGATGCCTGCAAGCGATACAATGCCGTCCAATATATTAAGACAACTTGTTCATAATGTCACATATGCATGACTACAAACTACATATATCTCTATACAAATATGTCTATATAATTATATATATTGTATATATTTATATATGGCTATGGCGAACTGAGTTTTTATTTAATTTTTAATTGTATTTTGTTGCTGTTGCTGTTGCTGTCTTCTTCTTTCTCTTTCTTTAATTGAGGTAGGCTCTGCCCCACTTCTGGGCCAAAAATGAAATCACCAATGCAAGAAATGGAATTTTTTATATTTTATTTCTCTTATCATTGGAATACAAAATAAAATAAAAGCGGCTTATGGCCGGGCCAAAAGCAGCCGTAAAAGAAAAAAAAATAAAATAAACAGCAACAACAACAGCAACAATTATATATTAAGTTAAGCGGGCAACAAAGAAATGCATTGCTATTGTCATTTACTTCATCTTCTTCTTCCTCTTCTTTTTCGTTAATTTTTTACATTTTATTGAAAGTTGAAGTGCATTGCGATATACATACATATATACAGATTTATATATGTATATACATATATTTATATTTAAAGGTATGCATGTATCTGCTTGACTGCTTTTATTTATTTATTTATATTCACATTAATATTTATATATTTATTTGCATTTTGATTATTTATTAAACATTTTGTGCTGGCGCAGCAAAAGCTTGGAACGTGTCGATTGATTTGTAAATTTCCATAGTACGCAAAATAAAAATACTATGAGTAGTAAACTATATATAAAACAAATATAATAAAAACAAATATACGTATATATGAATAAAATGTAAAAAAAATCAGAGCATAAAATTAAATTGATTGTCATTTAAAAAGTCAATTTGGTAGATGAAGAGAAGAAATGTTTATCATGTTTAAATATATGTAGATTTGAATTAAATAAAATTATTTGCTCATAGATATGTATTATTTGATTTTCATATAATTTAAGGAAAAGCACAATTAAAATAATATTTAAAAATATATTTTGTATGCCATTTTTTACTATTTAAATAAAGTGCAAATAAATATTTAAGTAATGTTTTTTTTATAATTTTTCAAATTTTTCTTTTCAATTAAAAAAAAAAATACGTTTTTTATGTTTATGTTTTATATGTGATCTTTTTATTGTTAATTTAATTTTTCTAATATTTTCTTCCAATTTTTATTTAGATTTTTTTTTTTTAGATTTAGACTTATTTGATTTTGTTTTAAAATTGTTTGTATGTTTAATTTGTACTAAATTTTTAAAAAATTTTATTATTATTTTTTTGTTTTAATTTTTCGATCAATTTTGTTTAAATTTGTCGACTTACCGTAACCGTTGAGCGTTTGCATGAACGGCGTGTCCGGTCGTCCTGTGAACTCCTCGCGGCGAAAGCACTCGCGTATCATTTTGTAGTCACTCATGACGACCGTCAGCTGGCTGCCGAGGCGGGTGGAGAAGAGGCTGCCGTACCTGGTGGCCAGCTCCATGAAGCGCGTGTGCTTCTCGTTGCCCATGAACAGCAGATAGCCGATGACCGGCAGGCCCCAGGGGCCGGGCGGCAGCTTGCGCAGCTCCCGATACAGGCGCAGCAGCCACTGGAGCAGCTTGATCAGCGTGAGGAAGCTCAGCGAGAAGAGCAGCATATTCTGGGCATCCTGCTGCTCCATCAGCAGCTGGCGCTTCACAAACTTTATCACATACGATTCGCCCAGCATGTTGCCGAGTTTTCTGTTGCTGCTCTCTGGTGCGGGGTGGGTGGGGCGTCGTCCTTTAAGCAGACGATGCTGTTTCCTTCTATGTATATATATATATCAGATATATATATATATATTTTTTTGTTTTTGTTTTTTGCTTGATTTATTTGCTGCACTGCAGAGTCATTTGTTGTCACTTTTGCTTTTACTTGGCGTCCGAACGTTACGAAAAAAATTCAATTCTTATGCTGGAATTTTTCCTTATTTTTTTTCCTTTTTTTGCTTTTTATTGTAGTTTTGTCCGTGGCGCAGGAAACAGTAAAAAAAATTTCTCCTTTTTGTGTGAATTGAGTTAAAAAATTTGTATTTCTTGTTAACCGCCTAAAATTGTGCGTTTGTTGTGTTGGTGTTGGTAACAGTTTAAGCGTAGATCTAAAAAAAAAAAATAGTTGCGTGCTCGGTGTCGAAGAAGTAGGCGGAGAGAGACCCGGAGACGATTTCGCGTCGAGCGTTTATAGTTTTCGACTAATGGCTCGAGCGTATGTCCTTGCCACTTTTATAACAACTCGGCCGCCGCTTCGCAGAGCAGCGCCGAACGCGAACGAGTGATCGACGGCAATCGCGGCTCGGCCGCTTCAAGCGCGCGCACACTCCCAGAGCCAGAGCCGACGACGACGACGACGACGACGACGACGACGACCGACCGACCGACCGATACGACGCTGCCGTTTGCGACGCAGCGCGTCTGCAACGTAGTCGAGCTGCTCGATTGGGCAGAGCGCGGGCTGGCTGCGCAGCTCCGACTCTGACTCTGGCTCTGGCTCTGGCTCTGGCTCTGACTGTGGCCCGCTCTGGGACAGAATCTGATAGTCAAAAGCTGGGCAGCGGCTGCTGCAGCTGCTGCTGCCGTCGCTGTCGCTGTCGCTGTCGGCGTCACTCACAGCGCACTCGCTCATATCAGTGTTCGTCTACGTCTTTGTCGCCCTCTCCATCTCCATCGCCATCTCCATCACCATCTCCGACTCAGTCTCAGTCTCAGTCAGCGACTCTGTTTGATGCGCTCATATTAGTCTTGAAATGACGCCGCCGCTGCTGCTGCTGCTGCCGTTGCTGCTGCCGTTGCTGCTGCTGCTGCTGCTGCTGTCGTTTCGCCCCAGCTAGCAGCTGCCCCCGCTGCCCCCGCTGCCCCCGTCCGCTGACCAGCGGCAGCGGCAAATCAACAAGTTTCCAATAAGCAGCGCAGCCAGGGCGTTTCACTCAATCGCAGCCAACATGTTGCCAGCGAGCATGTTCGAACACGTTTGAGCTCAAAGCGGGCGCTCGGCTTTTGTTTTGAGTGCAGCGCGAGCGCCGCTTGCGCTCTCTGTTTATGTTTTTTTTTTTTTTTTTTTTTTTTTCTTCTTTTCTTGTTGACTGTGCTCCAAGCCAAGCTCAAGAGCAACCAGACGCTGGCCAGTCGGCGCTCGGCAGTCGACAGCGGCTGACGCAGCTCTCGCTGGAGCGATGCGCGCTTGACTTTGCAGTCGCAGTCGCTGTCGCAGTCGTCGTCGTCGTTGCCGTCGTCGTCGCAGTCACTGTCGCAGATGCTCGGGCAGATGTACTTGCAGCGCTTATCAATTGATAAGACATACATACATATGCACATACATACATACATATGCATAAAATCTAAGCTACACTGCGCGAAAATTCATACAAGTTAAACACATATAGCGGAAGCAGTTGCACTTGCCTTTACCCCTCAAGAGCAGCCAATTTGCATTTGGGGTCAATTAGCCAAGCCTTCGCCCACAATGAACAAGAAGAAGCCGAGCGGCAGATAAACAAGATAAGAGATCTCTTTATATGACAACAACAACAAGAACGACTCGGACGATGAAAAGGTTTTTTAATGTTTCTTATTATTTTTTTGGTTCGATTTCAAATTCAAATTCAAATGCATTTGTAATCAATTCTGCAGAAGTTTCTGTGGCTTTCGATTTCGTTTCGTGGGTTCGCCTTTCGATTAATTCAACGATTTGTTTGCTTCTTGTTTACCAACAACCAAAGACCATGCCGGTTTTTGTTTTGTTGGGCTTAAGGACAAGATCTGACCCTCAGCCACACGCCAAACGCTGCCGACATCAGCGGCGCAGTCTGCAGTGGCAAAGAAAAAAAATTCAAAATAAATGAAGCAAAGTGACAGACGGAACCAGAAGCAGACGCTCACTTGCTGGCCCAGAAACTTCGATATATGCACATATATCAAATAAATTGTATATGAATATATGCATTCAAATAAATGAAATCATATTTACATTATAACTTAAATTATATGCCGTAAGTATTAGCAATATTAAAACTTCTCGCACTTAAAAAAGAAAAGAAATTTTTTAAAATAATATTTTAAGCTTGAACTTGAGTGAAAAATCTAAGGTTGTAGATGGATTATATCCTAATCTTGGTCATCATATTATATATTTAGTTATATATGTATATGCATACATAGGAACATATAGATAAACTAGATAAATCAACTCACTTGCTACTCACTTTCTATAATAATATATATATATATATATATA